AGCTCTTTTCGAGTCACCTGATGTGACTAAAGTTGGTGACAGTACCCTGCGTAGGCATCCCGCGTAGGCATAGGCATTTGCTTGAGAGGGGAGCCCAGGCTTCCATTGAAAGGGCGGACGCAACTTTACGAATGTGTTTCTGTTTGTGGGTGTTAGCAAGCCAAACTGCTGTTCCTCCATGTTTTGACATGGTGTGTCGCTGTTCACGCACATAGTTATGCGCCTTACACCTGTTTTAGGCGCCTCTAAGATTTGCAGTTTGGTGTGCAAACGTGACCGTCTCCAACTCAGTGTCCACATTGGTCATTTTTGTTCAGAACATCCTGCGTGCGACCGTTTGGTCGTCCTGGAGAAGGTGAGCCACATTGTCCTTTCACGTGGCTATCTTGCCCTCTGACTTTTTTGACATTTGGTCACATAAACCGTGAATCAAACATATAGAGTATGAACATGTTAGTGTGCAAATATATGACCAAATATCTTTTGCGAACCGCGCCATCCTGAATTTGGAGACCCGCACTGGAACTTGACCTCGAATTCAGTGACCGCAGCCCAACTCGACCGCGGTATTTGGCGAACTGCGGCATCCAGAACACAGAGACCCAGGTTCGAAGTTGACCATGTCAAACTCAGTGACCACAGTCGAACCGGACCATTCCGCAATCAGCGGCTCACACCTTGACAGTTTTTGCGGCTATTTGGCGTTCGATTTTTGTTGCCAGTGATACACTTCTTGATTTGTGGATGGTACACTCTTGATTTGTGCAGCCGTGCGCTTCTCGATTTGTGCACAGGTACGCTTCTCAATTTGTGCACAGGGACTCTTCTTGATTTGTGTTGGGTACAGTGCACAGGCACTCTTCGTGATTTGTGTTGGGTACACTCTTGATTTGTGCAGCGGTGCGCTTCTCTACAAGAATGCTACACCGCCCTGCCCATTCCCTTCCCCATTTCAATGTTGATGTGGGTGCCCACAGCGCAGCCGAGTAATTAGGTTAGGCCTCACAGTGAGAAGTTACTCCTGGTGTGTGAACACAGTGAGAAGTTCCTCCTGTTCATGCACGCCTGTCCACAGCTCTGTGTGTTCAAAACGGTTTCTTTGTGGGAACGCGCGCAGAGGCCGGACTGTAACGCCAAGCAATTGAAACGCGCGTGCCGTTTCCGTTTGTAATCAGGACATGCCTCCAAAGAGGAATCGCGTGGAGGCGGTCTAAGCTTTGCGTGGGGTGTCTTCTTGTTGCGCAAAATGTTGGTTCCTTGGTGAGGTCCTCGCGGAGGAGTTGAATGACTTGAAGCAACGACGGGCCGCGATGCGCGCGGCCAACCGTGCATTGGCAAAGCAGGAGAAGAATATGAAAAAACGACGTGCCCGCCTTGGACATCTTCGAAATTTGAATACAGTTGCTGCTGTTTCGCACTAGGCTGCCCGGCAACTCAGCCGTGACGACCTGTTACTCCTGGTGCACCAAGCGGGAGCAGGAGGCCAGGTGCCCGATGGACGGCCCAGCATTCACTCATGGGGCATTTGCGTCCGGAGGTGGTGGAGCTGCAGTGGTCGCAGCTGGTGGTGGAGATGGCGCGGAAAGTCTTCTGTGTGAAAAGATCCCCGGAATTGTGGCTGTCTATGCGCGTGTCACTCTCGGAGGTGGTGGAGCTGCGGTGGTAGCAGCTGGTGGTGGAGATGGCGCGGAAAGTCTTTTGCGTGAAAAGATCCCCGGAATTGTGGCTGTTTATGCGCGTGTCACTTTCACAGGTCATGGTGCTCCCCCTCCAAATCTGCCAGCTGGCGCTGCAGCTGGCGTTGCAGGGGAAGGTCTAGACTGTTTGTTTGCTTTCTGCGTGCGTGGAGCTCTTGGCAGACCAGGTGCGAATGATGTGGAGGAGGCTGATGCCATTTCATCTGAGAGTGATCGCGGCGAAGGCGCGCGGGTGGATGTGGTTTTGAGTGTGTTGCTCATGGCCGAAGTTTGCTCTAAATCAGTTCTCATTGGAGGCGGTGCTGCTGATGGTGATGGTGAGGAAGACTAGGTATCCTCAGGGCAGCTGCTCAGTTTGGAGACACGCTCCTGCGATTTTTGAAGGCGATCAGAAAAGTATGATGGGGTTGCTGGGCCAGTGATCCAGAGGCAAAGTTACGGACTTGGTTTCGGGGCTTTTGCTGACGCAGGAAAACTGGACACTCTAGGTGGGGCCTCCTCAGTAGCCTAGACCCACCAGCAGTCCCTCCGGGAGATCCAGGTCTGCTCTGGAGAGGTCTTTGGCAGTTTCTTCTAGGTCACTAAGCCAAAGCCTCGGCCGTGTCGGAGAATGTGAAAGACTCCTGGTATTTCATTCGGCATAGTGGGGGCTCGCAGCCCAATGGGAGCTTTGAGTAGGTGGCAGCCGGGGAGTATGATGCCGCTTCGCTTGCTCGCAAGTCCTAGTCCGTGCAAGCTGTGTTAGTCTCTGCCTCTTTCCTACTTACTGGTCGAATGAAATATCTTTGGTGGTCCGGCTCTAAGTCAAAGGCTGTGAGCAGCTTGGTGATTGTTTGTGCACCACTGCAATCTTAAGGTGAGTGGTGAGCGCCAGCCAGGCAAGGAGAAAGGTCAGAGATCCAGTCTTGCCCGCTCCAAAGACACCTGCTGCTGCCAAGGTAGATCTGCCAGCTCTAGGGCCAGCGCAAGACTGGCGGCCATTGAAACAATGTGCCCATTATCTTGCCGAGCGGCAGTTCCCAGGGCAACAGCAAAGCTGGCTGCTTGGAGGCAGTATTGCATTGTATTGCCGGAGGTCAGCAGCTGGAAGAGGGCATGCAAGCTCTGCAAAAGGACTACCGTGCATTCTAGTTGATACGGAATGGGCACTTGCCCCAGAAAACCCACCACTGTGGGTTTGTGCTCTGCAGCCAAGCAGGCCATTTTCAAGAGGTGGTCGGCAGTGACCGTATCTCCTGCTTCCGCAATGGCCAACACTCGGAGCTTAGTTGCTCTTGGTTCTAGCACGCATAGGCTAGGTGGGAACGCCCATGGCGCTGGGCACGCTAGTCCGGTTTCGGTTGGCGTGGGCAGTGGCACGAAATCTTCCGGGAACGGTACTAAGGCAACATCCCATTGCCGAGGACTGCTCAGCCGACGAAGTTTCTCACTTGGCGATTCGTCCCCTTTTCGTTTTCGAGAGGGAGACACAAAAGCCAGCAAGAGCGCCAAGACTGAGTAGCATGCGCCGTGCTCCTCCAGAACGATTCGATAGGCCTTCCCAGCCTGCGAGCCCATATGCACTGTACTTGAGGGATGCTGGCGAGTTGTTCGAAATTGCAACTTTGGAAGTGCGCCGGGCAAAAGATAGCTGTTTGCGACCCCGAAGGAAAGCCATGCGATATTCACGCATGCCCTGCAATCCGGTGGCTGTGGGTGTGACATCCACGACTAGGCCAAACTTTCGCACAGTGGGGCTGCTCCACAGTTCTTGTCTTGTGGTGGCCTCATCGACAAAGGTGAGCTGCGCAAGAAAAATGACAAAGACTTCTCGGAACGGGATCGGCGCCAGTGGGTCTCGAGCCATCTCCGTCAGCCATTGAGCACGTGCACTTTGAGTACCTTTGCCAACACGAAAGTTTTTGAGCAGCAGCGCCTGTGCTTCTTCCATGGAGGCGATTGGCTGTCCTGCCACACAGCTTTGTGGTGGCACCAGCAATTCCTGGTCAGGACGATGGAGATTGGACACCAACAAGCTGATAGCTCCTTCCCAATCCTCGCTCGTCATGGCCGTTTCGAATCGAATCCAGGAGGCGAGGCGCATCGGAGCGGCAATTCGATCGCGGCGAGGGATAACATCCGGGTGCGTGAGCTTCAGTGTGGTGGTGAGACTAACTTTGCCCGCAGGGAGTTGGCACTGGAGCCAGTGCCAATAACAGTGCTTGTGCTGCCCATCCATCTTGCAGAGTCTGTTACATTCGTGATGTGCAAGGATCGTTGCAACATGTCGAGCTCGTTCTCTGTCGGCTTCCAGTCACACAGACAATCCTCAGCAGCATGGACAAGACAGTAGTTGCGCCTTTCAGGTTCTGCAGTGCTACGAGTGCTGCTAAGACACTCTTCGGCATCGCAATGGCGCCTAGGCGCGCTGTGATCTGACTGGCTGGCCAGAGGCAACGAATTGCTAAGGCAATCACTGCTCGCGTGTGGCTGCCGGCACTAAAACCATTCACGGTGAAATGGGGGGGATCTGCTTGTTCAGTCGGCCGCAGACACCCAACCACTGCCAAGTGGGCAAGAAGTGGCTGGAGCGAAAGAAGCTTCCACCAAAGACCACTGAGAAAGGCCTGGTGCGGCAGCCGTCGATGAGCAGGGAGCAGCCTGGCTGCTTGCAACACATGCTGTGTTCGTTGGTACAGAAGGGCTGCCTTGCCATACCCTAGAGCTTCCCATTTCTGGCACGGATTCTGTGTGAGCGCAAAGAGGGTGGCGACTTCATGCACTCCGGTCGACCAGCCAAGGCAACTCCCACCCCCAGTGTCTTGTCCCCGGAGAAAAAGAGCAATTCCTGCAAGTCAATGGCGATTTGCTCCTTCAGCTCCGAGGCACGGTTATGCTCCTGGAAGGTATTGCACCACAGGTGTTTGAAGCTATATACCAACGTCAGCAGGGTGAAATACTCTGGGTCACTGTCCTATGGATGATTGCTCAACTTAATGGGTACTGGGTTGGCGGCACATCTCCACCACTGCCGTCAGTATTTCAAATCAACTGTGGTGGCCTGGGGGGTGGAGCCCTTGAAGGTGAGGTCCCCCCGCACTTCCATTGCACGTGTCCGCCGGTAGGAGAAAGTCAAGTCTATGTAATGCAACTTGCAATTCCTCGTGCGGACATGCTTCAATGTTTTTGTGGACTGCAACTACCCCTCATTGTGGAAATCTGGATTTGAGTTCGCGGTGTGCGCCGTGACTTTGCAA